CCCTTAGTTGTTTTGTACTCTTACCTTGACCCTTAAAACATCAGTATATCCGAGCCGCCTCCTGCTGAGGCGGAATCCGATTCCCCCTGCAAGCCAAGCCAACCTTTGCTGAATCACCAGCACGGCACTTTTTCTATTCTTTTGGCTGGAGCCACCAGCCATTCTGTTCCGTTAGCCCCGCACCTCCAAACTTTTTGGAATGATCTGTGATTTCGACTCTCAAGTTTTCCTGGGCCATGTACTGGTGGTTCAAGAGTACTTTAACCACCAGTACTTCCTAAAGACGTGCCCGCATACAAGCAACAATTTTAGGGAATGTACGGGCCACGACAGGAGTGCATGAATTCATCTGACTAGAAACGTTTCTACTCTATTTTTTTTTTTTTCCCGTGGCCCATAGCTGGGCCAAGTAGTGGTGGTTTAACGTTCCCAACTTTCCACCAAGAGGAAAATACAGTAAAGCTGTGCCCGTATACAAGCCACAACTTTAGGGAATGTAGAGCCACTACAGGAGCGCCCAAATTCATCCGACTAGAAACGTTTCTAGTACTTTCTACTCTAGTTTTTTTTCCCCGTGGCCCATAGCTGGGCCAAGTACTGGTGGTTTAACGTTTCCAACTTTCCACCAAGAGGAAAATATACAGTATGAACTACTATGAAGCCTCCATTGAATCAAGGACAAACTGATTCCAGTACTTCCTGATATATCCTATGATAACCAGGCCCTTACAATATAAAGAAGAAAAGATTGTAGCGGATCTATTGAGAAGAGCACCCCCATGGGTCATATGGAGATCCAGATGCAAAGGAACACTCGGTAACCAGATCACAACAGGCGAAGAGGATAAAGCTAAAAGGCCAATGCTGAATTGCGCTGCATTTCTCATCAGATACCTTACACAGACGAAACTTCCATCCTCGAGCCATGATGACCTCACTTAAGAACTCCCGGATCGAGTTTGGAACAAAAAACACAGCCTGCCTCCCCGTGAGGAACGAACGCTACGATTATCATCGTCTTTGCTTATGGTTGCCAGTGAGGCTGACGATTTCACAATGAAACGCATAACGTTCACTGGGCCGAGTATGGTTTTGGTTGTGTGCATTTTGCAGGGTGACACATGTTGATAACCCGGAATATATACTAAATACTAACCATGAATAGAGTAGTTTACCTAATAACTGGATGGCTTGAAGTGGTCACACGTGTGGCAACGCTGTTTTGTTCAACAGGATAACCTTTTCCGACATCACGCATTTAACGCTTGACCCATCCTTACTTTTTCCCCTTTGATATACAGTCTGATTCCTCCCCCAGGCAAGGTGTGTATTCATTCCTTCTACCGTCCTCCCCCGAACATAACCACATATGCCTTGTAAACGAATACAACGCATAGGTTGTTTTGCTGTTCGAATACAACCAACATGTGTTCTATTCGAACCGCCCTCATATTCAAATGCAAAGCATATGCGTTCTATTCGAATCATCGTTTTTTTTTCCAAAAACAGTGAAAAACTCGAATGCAATGCATATGCGTTATGTTCGAGGGAAGGTGGTAGTTTTTCAAAGCCAACCAATGGACCATAAAACGCATTCGGTTACTCGCTCTGTCACTCAATTACACTGCTCATTCATAAACCTGCAATCTGATATAACTTGATAAGCGCGTGCAATAGAGCATTGAACCCATTGATTACATATATATTCATTGCACCCTCTTCAAGGCGTCTTGGCAATGAGCACAAATCTAAAGAAAAAGGGTCATATTGACTCATACATAGATGATACTTTTTTCGAGTTTCCGTATAAGAGATTAGTAGGCAGGACAACGGATAAAAGAAGTTGCTTTTATGGAATATTAATTTTTGGCAAGGGTAGGAGCTAGTGGGAGGGGCACTGATCTACCTTTGGATGGAAGCAGCTGACAGTCAATCCTTCGGGGGGAAGTAACCAATGCAGCCAGGTTCCCGAGGCCGTAACGTGGGGAAGCGTGAAGAGTAAAAGCGTCCTGTGATGACTATATTTCAAGGGAGGCTGGGCCCAATTCTCAGGAGGTGACGCCCCCCCACCATTTGAAATGAGCTCTTTTTTTTTTTTTTGGGGGGGGGGGAGGGAGAAGCTGTCGCTCTAACTCAGGAAGCCCTCAGAAGGGTTCCGACTCTTCCGAGAGTCTGGGTTTCAAAGAGGTGTAACCACATTGCGGCCATTTATCACCCCCCCTTGTTATGCATCCCCTCAAGTCAAATAATCGGAACCGGGGGGGGGGGGGGGGGGGGGGTTGGAGTTCTGGGGAGAGTCCTGGATCGTGCCAATGAGATAAAGGTACTGCTCACCACATGGGTAATATTGAGGCTTTGATAGAGGGTGAGTTGCTGTGGCAGCTGTTGGTTCTCGAAAAAAACTTATCCCCCCATCCAAACCCCTGGAAGCATGAAAGGGCTGTTTTTTTCTGGCTGATGGCCAAACCCTGGCTGCTCAACGCCTGGAGGAAAAAGACGCAGGCAGATAGGGTTCGAGTGGCAAAATCCGAGAACACCCTTGCACTTTCTGGGAACCAAGCTTGCAGATTCCAGACCAGACCAGGGCATGGCACCGGAGATACAGACGAAGATGTTACGAAAAATGGACACCTGGTCCAGCATCTACACGTCAGTCTTCGGAAGGGCGCTGGTACTTAACGCGTCCATTTTTTCCATGTTGTGGTATGCAGCCACCATAGGACACCAGAAGGCAACATGGTCACAGCCCTCAAACGGCGAACGCCCGCTTACTTATGGACCGGGAATCCTGCGACACAGCGCTTCATACCAAAGGTGGCTTGGTCGCACGTCATCCAACCAAAGGGTAGAGGTGGTTTGGCAGTCCTTGATCCGGCTACTCAGACCAAGGCCCTTCAAACGAAGTGGATTGTCAAGTTACTACTACAACAATGACTCCCCTGGACTATGCTGGCCTTGAACAGGATCAGGCAGCTGCCTAAAGCCACCTCCCCGTCCAACATGCAAGGGCTCTTCTGGGTAATGTCGAAGTCTTGGGCGACTCGCAGCAACGTGCAACGGACTAACCAGCAACAACAGGTGCAGCCGCCGACCCGCTTGGGAGTACTGGATGTATCTCATCAGGATCTAGCGAGAGATCTTCCCGGCCAAGGTTCGAAGTCCAGCAAACAGAGAGGAAGTCCTGCGCCAGCCCGTCTTCTGCAACCAATGGCTGAAAGACCCCTCCGATAAACCATGGGCTCTGATGACACAGGATACCCGCTGGATTACATGGCTAGAAAAGGGCGTCTGGCAACCTCAACACATCTGGAACCATCACTGCAATCGTTGGAAGACAACAGCGGAGCTCAGAACAACTCTCAAAGGATGCCACAACTTGGAGGACAATAGGCAGGCGATGTTACAATCCATACCACAGGACTGGGTGGCACACTTACAAGCACCCCCCGCCTGGAAATCAGGAGAGTGGGCTACGTGGAAGTCACAAAACACTCCCACAGAAGTATTGCCATACGTAAAGTCAACAGGCCCGGCAGGGGACTGGGGATTATGGACCATTCACTACATACAACAGCCAGGAAACAACATCGGCAGGGTCTCTAAAACAGTACGTGCCCGAGTCACAGCCAAACCGTCCTTCCTCAGGAAAATCAGAGTGCTGGAGGACGAAGAATACAAAACTTATCAGCCGGGAACAGCCTTACAAGATTTGGAGTTTGACCCGGCAGAGTGGACATGGAAAACAAGAGCAATGCCAATGGGGGCACAGAAGCGTACCAATATCCTAGATTACTCAACTAGTTTCGGCTATAAACTTAAACGTAATCCGGTGAGCACAGAGCTCATCTTGTCCCAGCGTTGGGAGAAATATATTCCGGGGTGCCTAGGCAACACGGAGAAGCTTGACTGGCAGGTTCCCCTCGCCATCAGAAATACTCGTATAAGAAGCATGCAATGGCTTACATACCATCAGGCCTTACCGGTCAACACACGGATCAGCAGGAGAAGGTTGGGAACTGATAGAAGAGATTTCAACGATAGCTGTCCAGTCTGCAATGATGGATCCCTTGAGGACATGCTACACTGTCTGATCAACTGTTCTAATGCACAAAGAATTTGGAACAAAACGCGGGCGTACTGGTTGGAGCTAGTCGGCGCATCGCTACTGGACAACCTACTGACACTCCTGACGGGTTTGGCACAACCAAGTTTCAGAGAAGTCTGGCATTCAACCCTCTTCAGAAGACTTCGTCCTTTTACACTGTGGATCATATGGAAGACACGATGCAAACAAACGATAGCACGACAAAATACATCGACCCGGGAGGCCTGGGAGAATGTTCTTCAACTTACACACGGAATACCTGGCAGATTGGCGCCGGGCAAACAAGAATATCAAGGACGATCCCACAAAAAAGCAAATAATCATAGACAAATTCATCAAGGACAGGTTCGGGAAGGGCAAACTCAGCACAATACAAGGTGACCCCCCCCGATTGTTATGGAAAAGGAGGGAGGAACAGCAAGGGAGAGACAGAACCACGGTCCTTGCATCATTGGAAATGGCACAATCACAATACAGTTCAGCAGACATAAATTCAGCTTGTGGTCTTACAGGACTATGGTTTCACGTAAAAAAGGACTTGGTCTTCACGTCAGGGGGGACAGTAGGGTTTAGGTTTTAGAAGAGCGGACAGAGAGGAAGAAAGTTTCGGGGTTCAGAGTGGCGGAATAGCACAGGTCTTATCTCTTGGGCTAGGAACTGGTAAATCAAGGCATCATTATAACCGAGGGTCTAGGGTTTAGGACTTATATAAATAGGGGTTAGATTTGAAACCTTTCAAGGGAATCATACGCGTCCCAGAACACTCTGATAAAACACACCTACCCAACAGATTCAAAACTGAGAGGAGCAGAACTGGGATTAGATGGTTTGACAAACTGAGATAGTACAGGCTAACTTAGGCAGGGGTGAGGGTGGTACATCCTTCCTCAGGGAAGTATTCAATGCCATCCACTCGGGCCTCCCAGCCATAATGGGGGGGAGCGTGCGTGTGTTTCTTATGTATCTCCTATTGACTTGCTGGGGGAAAGGAACCGGAATGTTGCTCCGCAGAATGGTAGGAGCCAAGCCATGAGGTTCTGCAACAAAAAAAAAGAAAAAGAAAAAAAAAGAAAAAGAGGAAGGGAAGAGAGAACAGAAAGAGCGAAAGCGTGGAGCTGGACAGTCAACTCTTGAGGACACTCTTGCGCAGCATGAAATGGGCA